ATCACCAACAATATTTTGACGGTGTACTCCTACTCATAATACCACACTGTAGCAAATTAGCCATCCTAGCCCTGTACTCATCAGAAAAGCAAACAGAGCCTTGGAAAGCTAGCCATGTACACATGGCACGTGTCAAGCCCCAAGGGCTCGATAAACGGAACTAACTACGGTTAGGGGCTTGTCTGCAAAAGGTCACTTTCTTGTGCTCAGACTGCAAAGGCGAGCGGGCTACTGAACCACGCATTCAACTGTCAGTACGATGCACAAGCCACGCCTTAGCCCGCAAATACCGGGACCCGCATACATTAAAGAGAAAATATGCAAAGGTAGACCTTACTTAAATAAAATCATCAACGTGGGTCAATTTATTGAAGTTTATTATTAAATTTTGCAGTAGAACCTTCTTTTAAATACAATCCCCATTATTTTTAATCAAATTTTAGTGTACATATTATTAAAATTAATATAAAATTAGAATTTTAGCTTTCACTGTATCAGAGAGTTTTCATGTAATTATTAGGGCATCTCCAACAGCTTCTCTAAAATTTTCTCCAAAATTGAAAAGTAAAAGTGATATTCTCCAACTAATTTTTACACCAACTCCAACAGCTTCCCCATTTTGAAGAATCTATTTTTTCCTCCAAAAATTTAGAGAATGCTGCAATGGGATAGAATTTGTGAAAAATAATTTTAGAAAATTATTTCTTAAAAAATTATTTCCACTACACTTGTTTGGTTCAAATAAAAAAATTTAAAAAGAAAAGCAGTGTGCCGGTGTCATAATTATATAGACATGTGAATAGATAAGTGGACTCCAAAAAATATAGAAACCCAATTCTCAACAAAAAAGCACCGAAAATTAGATTAAAAATAAAAAAAAGTAGACACTACATTATCCTTTTTTTTTTGTTTCCATTTCTTTTTCTTAGCTTTTTAGGAAACTAGTCAAACCGCCCCCACAGCCCCCCGTACAAAGAGGATAATTATTACGAGATCCACATATAAAGTGTCAAATTTTCACGGAAGACAGAGAGTTTATTAGAAGTCCCTGAGATGGGTGTGGGTGATTGTGACTGTATGACTAGTCCCGTCAAACTTTCGAACACAAACGGCGGCATCTCTCGCTCGACAGCGACGTCAAAGTCCCCACCAACATTCATAAATATACACCATCAATCATCCATCCATCCATTCAATTAACAAGCGAATGAAAAAACAATTATAAAGAGAGGATAATTTGCAGATTTGAGTAAAAAACTAATAACTGAAAATTAAAATCTAAGCACGTGCTTACCCTGCCGGCCTTTCCGCTTTTGCCCCTCCCTCCTGCAAGTGTTGTCCCAGAGGTGGGCCTCGTAGCGGCCCGTCCACCTGTGCCTGAAACCAAAACCACACGTGTGAATACACGCGTCGCCTTCGAATCCCGTTCGAAAACGACACTGCCCCTGGCAAAGCGCTCCGCCAATTTTGCACTAAACTTCCAGAAGCAATTTCCTAATTACAAACAACATAACATTTTTTTTGCATTTCCCTTGTCGGAACATCTCGTTCCAACTCCAAAAGGAAATTCTAAGCTTCAAAAAATCCGAAGAAAAAAACACTAAAATTAAGAAGAGCGACGGCCCTTTCAGCAAGAAATCCCATATCCACAAAAATCCAGAGAAATTAAAAGTATCACCTTGTAACTCCTCTGAAGACCGAACTCCTCTGACCCGACCCCACCACCTTCATCGCCTTCGTCGTCATGGCTGTCCCCTTGGCCTTGGCCTTGGCCTCTTTCATCACCTCCATTTTTAACGGCGTCACGTCGAGACAAGACTCCGTAGACCCGCCGTTAGGGCTGAATTCGCCACTTCTGAGCTACTGATCACAGGATCCCAACCGGAGCTCGACAGCTCGAATCTTGATGGATCGTCAGCGACGCAGGACGATTCTCTGGACGTCCGCCATGGCTCGGATCCAACGGCAACGAGCTCTGACCGCGGCCGATGAAGTCGACGCACTGCTCCTCTTGGTAGAGAGAGAATGAGGCTGAGGGATCGATGGAGTACGGCCGCAGCAGCATCTCGATCGGAGGATAACCGGCGAACGAGATCCAGTCACTCATCTTAGGGTTTCAGATTTTTTTTTAGAGAGAGAGAAAGAAATCAGAGGATTCTAGAGAGAGAAAGTGAAGGGATTAGCTCGCATCAGTGCAAGTGAAGTCAAAAACCAGAACAGCTTTGCGTGTATTCGGGCGGCGAGAGCGAGAGAGTGGGGAGGGGGAGGGGTTTTATAGTGGAGGGGGGGATAGAGAGTTTGTGTGAGAGGACTGAAGGAATATTTTTGTTGGGGGCAGTTGAAATGACGGGAGTGCCCTTGGGCTGTGGGGGTAGTATCAATGGACGGGACTAACCTCATTGAAATGATGGGCATGTTTGCTTATGCGCGTGCACGCGAGCCCGAAATTAGAAGTCCTTTGCTTTTTGTTGTCTCAAAGTTCTAAGAACTCGTTAACGGCTTAAACTCATCTCTCATAACATGCGTTTCTCGTCTTGCCACCTTACTCTTCAAATTTTGGGTTTTAATAATAATATTAACATTGTTCACTAGTTGTCAAAACTCTATAATGAATAGAACGCAAGAAGAGGTGGTTTAACAGTGACAATGTGATAGATCATAAGCAATATAAGCTTAAAGTCATGTAATTAGAAAACATGTGAAATATATAGTGTCACTAGTACAAAACAGAACAGTTCAACCGGTTATTAGAACCGTTTGGACAAGAGAAAATAGCCCAAACGGTTGAAACAGTTTGGGATAACAAAACCCAAACGGTTGAAACCGTTTGAGTTGTTAGGAGATCTCAAATGCAATCGCCAAACAGGTACAACCGTTTGGGATGTTTAGCCCAAACGGTTTAAACCGTTTGGGTGATTTTGTTATTTTTCTTTTTTAAAATAAAATATATTTATTTCTCCGTTCTCTTCCTACTAAACTGGCTTCCCCCCAAAAATTTCCTTTTCCCCCAAAAAATTTCCCCCAAACTCTCAAATCCCTCGTCTCAATCTACTAAGAATTCGCCTCTCGTCTTCATCATCAGCGTCTTCTCCATCCCCTCAAATCCCTCTCTGACCCCGTCCGCAAGCAACAATCCGAAGCTCTCGGCGGCCTCGACGACAAAGAGGTCGTTTGCAACTACTTCAACAACACTCGCTTCCAGCGCTGGCGCAAGATCTACTGCGAATCCATCGACGGCGTCAACAAGGTCCAGCTCGACATTCGCCTCGGCCACTCCAAAACCGTCGAGAAAACCCTAGAGATGCTCAAGGATGACGGGCCCCTCGCCGGCGTCTCCGTATGTGTTTGGCTACAAGCGCCGGCCCTATTTCATTCTTGTTGGTAAGCTTTTTTCGCATTTGTTTTCTTGTTGTCATAGAGATTTGAAGACTTTGACTGGATAAAGGGTAAACAAATTAAGAAATAAAAGATAGGTCTGTCAGCATTTTTGATTTAATCATGTGCATGTGGCTGTCCTTGAACAGGTTTTCTATGATAGCATATCGACTAATAATGGGAAATGCTTGTGATAGATTAGCACCCAAATTTGCAGCGAAAAATGTAGGTCTCTGGTCAATGGATCCCAATAAAATTGAGGAACCTAAAGGAAATTATGCGAATGAATTTATTGCGAGAGTGAGAGCTTGGTTGAGAAGTTTCTAGAGATTTGTTTTTTGAGTTCTAACTGAGGCCCTTTCATCGAGACAAAAGAAAGAAACCAGTGATACTATCCCCCTCGCCCTCGAGATTCAAGGTGAAGGATTTGGAGAGCTTGGATGGGAAATACAACACCGTGGTGCGTCTTGATGTGTTGATACATCTTGAATTGTCACTCTTGTGAAGGGGACACAAAACTGGAGCATGTTTACACTCAACGCTGGGCTCTGTTCACTTATCCACATTAATATGTTTGTCAAAAGCTATTGAAGCTTCATAAGAAAAAGATAATATAATAACTCATTATGAAGATATTGTCTTCTAGCTATTTCTTTTTATTAATTTCTCATTTGTGTATACACAGGAATCTGGAATAGATGTGCGACTCTATGATGTTAGTGCTGCAATCCAAGAGGTTATGGAATCATATGAGGTTGAAATTAATGAGAAAGTGTTCTAAGGTACAAAATTTTATGTGATTTTCTTAAAATTTTCTTATGATATATATAATATAACATGGGGATGGTAATATTAATCTCTTTTTCCTTCGAAACACACATCTAACTATTTCACATTATATATTTGATAGCCATTTGTAAGTTTTAAATTGCTTGATTAAACTGTGTCATCTTGTTGTTAAAGTAGACTGATCAATAGAAATTACTGTGTCATCTTGTTGATGATCAAACAAATGAAACTTAGCTATGCTTTTATTCATGATCAATAGAAATTACTGTGTCATCTTGTTGATGATCAAACAAATGAAACTTAGCTATGCTTTTATTCATCATCACCTGATTAAAGTTCACAAGAAACTTGATGATCAAACAAATGAAACTTAGCTATGCTTTTATTCATCATCACCTGATTAAAGTTCACAAGAAACTTAAGTGGTGGAGTTTTCAATTTTGTCACATTAGTTCACTCTTTGTCTCTTAATCAAAAGCTAATTTTGCAGGTTGGTTTCACAAATGAGGGAAAGATTATGGCTTTAGATCTTCAGATCTATAATAATGGCGGAAATACAAAGACTTGTCTCTTGAAGTCTTTGATCGTGCGATGTTCTATCCAAAAAATGTCTATGATATACCACACATGAGGATCAAAGGCCAAGTTTGTTATACTAATACTTCTAGTAATACTGCTTTCAGGGGATTTGGTGCCTCTCAAAGTATGCTTATTGCTAAAAATTGGATTGAAAGAATTGCTTCTGAGCTTCAAAAGAGACCCGAGGAAATAAAGGTAAAATTTTATTTTAGCGAAAAATTTGATCATACTTTGATGTTATTATAATGACTATAATGTTTCTTTTACCAGGAAATAAATTTTCACATAGAAGGATATGTGACCCACTATGGCCAGCAACTGCAGGATCAGGTTTGGAATAAATTAAAGGCATACTGTGATTTATCAAAGGCTCTTGATTCTGTAAATAAATTTAATACCAAATATCACAGCCTCAGATTACACAGATTGCAGCCTCATCCTTCAATATTCCCCTTAGTTCTGTGTTCATATCAGACATAAGTACAGATGAGGTTGGTTTCAGTTTTAATTGTCATTAATAATAAACCCAAGTAAACGCACATATTTTATGGGTTAATTGTAGATAGACTCACTGTACTATTGCCAATTTAAACTTACTTTTCATATAGTTATATTGCTACAGATTGACCCGCTGACTCGCTGAGTGAAAAATATTGACCATTTCTAAAGGATTTATCTTCAATAATAGATTTTCACTCAGGGGATCTACCTGCAAGAATTGAACTTTTATAGGGTCAAGGGGGTCTATCTGCAACAATAAAAATACAGGGTATTAAATTCAATTTCCTACGATTAGCCTATTTTGTTATACGGTTCTGAAATCTTATTGTATTTTAGGTCCCTAATACAACATCAACAGCGGCTTCAACGAGCTCTGATATGTACAATGCAGTAGTTCTAGATGCTTGCGAGCAACTTAAAGAACAAATGAAGCCTACTGCTATAAATAGGCCTTTATTTCGCTTGATCTTAAGAAATATGAGAAGCATGGCTTTCGCATTTCTATATTATCCTTTTCTTGTTATTTGAATGGATATTAGAGACAAATATATAATATTAGATGCTTTTTATTGTCAGATATTGAGTAATCATTGTGTATGTATATGTTTTGTCTTTAATATTATATTATCTATTTGAATTGGATATTCAACGCCGTTTGAGACATTTTTGTGTATGTATATATTTTTTATTTCATTGTGAGATATTGAATAATCATTGTGTGAGATGTGTATATTAAGTTTAAATGTGTATGTGTATATTTTTTATTTTATTGTGAGATATTGAATAATAATTGTGTGAGATGTGTATATTAAGTGTAAAGATGTAGATAAAAAAAATAGTCAAAATTTAAAAATATTAAAATACACAGTCCAAACGGTTGTAACCGTTTGGACAGAAATTTGGCCAAACGGTTGTAACCGTTTGGGCGAAAATTAGACCAAACGGTTACAACCATTTGGCCAAATTTCTGTCCAAACAGTTGTAATCATTTGGGCGATTGTTGGGGTAGACTATTCCCCAACGGTTTCAGCCCAAACAGACTTTTTTAGCCCAAACAGTTATAACCGTTTGGGAGTGGGTTTTCCCAAACGGTTTCAACCGTTTGCGCTGTCCTGTTTTGTACTAGCTAGTGTGTCAACAATGAATACCAAAATACTTTTACAAAGGATTAATTGCGGTAGACAACTTCTAGCTAGTATGTTGTTTTAAATTTACTACGCCTCTATATTTTCACTTTTGAAAATAGTTTCTGACTAAAGGTTTTTCCTATTTTACCATCGAAGAAAGAGAAAATTAATAGTTCTTGACAAATTGACCCTAACGAATAAAGGAGTCAAAAAATTCACCTTAACACTACAGAGGGTCTCTCCACAATTAAACTATTAAAACATATTGCCTGGCATAACCATGATAGGCATTGAAAGTCAATGTTGTTGCTCTAGCATAACCAATTATTCATGAATCTCTTTGTTGTCAAGTAAACAATATGAGTGTAATTTTCTCTAATAATACTATAAGAAAAGTTTTTTCCAATAATAAAAGACTATAATGGGTTGTTTGGTTGCCAAAAAAATTATGGAAAACTATTATAAGAGACTTATTTTCTATAATTGTTTCTTTTTCTTTGTTTGGTTCACATCTTGAAATCAAGAATAGAGTTCATGTTGTTAGAACTTTGTTTGAGGAGAATGTTGTTCATGCAA